AGGAACAGACCCAGTGCTATGTTGTGTAATGTAAGCAGCTGGCTAAAAGACAGAAGAATTGATGCAAGCAAAACTGCAACATTCATTCATGTGTTACTACACACAGGAGAATTCACACAGAGGAGAGCCTCAGAAGTACCTCAGCCCAGGGGAAAAACTTCCATTGGACCAACCAAAGCTTCCTATCAACCACAAGGTGCAAGTCCACAGGAAGCCCTAAGTTCACTTAGTTCTAGGGCAACCTTATTTCCAGAAGGCTCTAACTCCAAGGCAAGCACAGCTCCTGCCACACCACTGAAGATATCTGTTCCTCACATAACTCCTCTTTGATCTGTTGCAAAAGCTGAAAGCGTGCAGGAAAAGAAACATAAGACTTCACAAAAAAGCAATCATGGCAAATGCACCTGAATGTTGTCCCTGGGAATTAGCAACCATTCAGACTCAGACTCCCAGCAGAATGCTGGCAACTTATTTCAAATACAGTTTTTAATTTTTATTTATTTTACATTTGTTCATTAATAATTTTCTTTCATTTTACCAGTGACTGGCTTGACAATCTGGAGTCTGATTTGCAGAAAGGCTGGGCATTCACAGCTGTGACAGAGGTCAAAAGAGCTGGGGTTTGAGCAAGAGCAATGTTCAACTCCCTTAAAAAAATTCTCAAGTTTGGTGAATTTAAATCCTGGAATCCCAAATGAGTCAATAGCTTTTGCACTGGCTTCTCCAGCCTGTCTGCCACTGCCTGCAGAAGGAAAACGGCTGCACACTTCCACATCACCAAGATGAAGTGCAAGTAAAGTTACTGCCTGCCAAGCACCTGCGTACTGTTATGATGAGCACTCTGAGCAAAACTGGGGAGGACGTTAATAATTCTGGATTCAGAGCAGCTTTTGAACTTAGGCAATAAACAGCTCTGGGCCACACATGGAACAAAAGGTTAAAATAATTTACTGAATAGCTGCTCATTAGTTCAGCTCTTTCTGTTATGTGCACTACATGAAGATAGCAGAGGGAGAAACAATGGATGTATCTACAAGAAGATTTCAATTCCAGTCATCCTTGGAAGTGAAATATCTTGGTTGTCCCCACTTAATGCATCTTGCTTCACACAGTGCAATAAGTGCATGAGTGGCATTCATTTCAGAAGCAAGTAAACTGGAAGATGTACTTCAGGAGTAAACCTAATGTGCCTCAACCAATTTAGAAAATGAGATTAAAAAACAATGCAGAAGTGAGACAAATTAGGACACTAATGTCTGGAATGCTCAAAGTCTGCAATACTTGGCTTTATAATTTCACTCTTTTATAACAGTTCTTTTAATGTAGAATATCTATGTAAACACAAATTGTTTCTCAAATCACTGTTCTGAGTAAGAAGTAGATGATGCCTCAGCCATCAAAGTGAATGGAAATGTCAATAGTCTGCACATCTCCCCCTGTATTTTAGTTCTGTGGAAAAGTAAATTTAACCCAGATGAACTTGACGCATTAAGAATAACCCCTAAGTAGAAATGCAACATTCCTCTCTGACATTTTGGATCATGAGCCTAACTTTGTAGGAAAGAGACTATTATCCCACTGCCACACAAGCACGTCTTTTGACTCTTTTGCTTCAGCGACAAGCATTGCTGTCTTCATATGAGATCCATGCTCTGTAGTTTCAAAACTGCTGTTCATGCAACCCTAAATATGTCTTTCTCCCCTTTTATTTTAAACAGATTTGGTTTGTGGCAGGAGTTGTGATGACTGCACTGAACTTGGGCTATAATCCCACAGAGAGCGTTTCTTAATTTTCAGAATCTATTATTTGGCTCAGAGAAGGAATTCTGTTCTTTCAGTTGGAAGGTAGGGAGATCCATATATGTGATTTGAGCTGCTTGCATGTTTGGACCATGCGCAGGATGTACTCAGATGAATGCTTTTCTACAATAAAATATGTTTTGGAGTATTTTTAAAATTGCAACAACTGTATATTGAAGTGTAAACCAAACGTACTAGGCGGTCTGGTATCTCTCAGAAAGTGACTTCACTCGAGAGTCAATTAGGTTCATATGAGAGCCAAATTGAAAAAAGAAATGCCAGTCTCTGAACTACGATCTGCATGAAGTGTTTGAGGTTGCTAACAAATGCGTGTCCTTCCATAAACACAGTTATGTAACCCAGTATTTGGTTAGTGACTCTCCCTAAAGTACTTGCTCCCTATCTTGCAGTGAGAAAGACTCCGGAAATCATTAACCTTCAGAAGACAACAACGAGCTGTCCCCTGTGACCCTTTGCCACAAGGCATAATTAAGGACCAGTTCTGCAGCTGGAGACAAAGACCATTTCCTACAGTTGCTGATTCTGCCACGCATGCTCTTTCTGTGCAGCCTGCCCCGTGAACGGTTCCTGCCATGACCGCCAAGTCACCAGACTGACTTTGATCTTAGGAACCCTGGGAAACGAAGACAAACAAAAATAACAGCAAAATGAGCATGGGATCCGTAATTCAGAAAATCTGACTAAAACATGATGGGGCTGGGTTTTATACTTAGTGCCTCTGAACCTGCAAGCTCTTCAGCCTTCTTTTTCAAAGACTGTTAAGTATTAACTTTCCATCAGATGGGGAAAAAGGCACTTGAGAGCTTAATACACGTGATCCCTTCCTACTCTCCTCAGTGACAGTACCTGGCTCCCCAGAGAGTGAATCCCGGTGCTTTAGTCAATGAGCCAACAAACTCGGTTTGGCTGCAGCCTCTCCCACAGCAACTTCTGTCTCTGGGCAGTAACGATACATTCAGTTTGCACCCACCCCTCCGAGGGGCTCTGGGGTTCCTCAGCAGCCTGAGAAGGATGTGGCACTAACTGTGCTAGGAAGGTCAGGGTTTCCTTCCAGGAGATCCCGTGCCACTTTCAACCAGCAGTCCAACAGTACTGACACGGCAGTTTTTCTGTCTGCCTCAGTGTTCAATTAAAACAGCTAGTCAAAACTAGTAAAGGAATTAGGTGGAAGGTACAAAGCAGGTAAATTTCTTTAAAAGAATTTATGAAAGACTTTTACAGAAATGTCTTACCTCCTGTGTCCCCTTTATTAAGAGGGGTGTGACCAGAAACAAAGCAACTACTTGAATAATACCTGATTTTTAAAATTATTCAAAGTTGTATACAATAGAGGATCTCTCTAATCCAACTTGTTTCAGTTTGAACTGCCTTTAGAACATTGTAAATTCATTTCAGACACTGTAAATACTTTTCTACCAACCACCTATTTTAAGTGTTTCATACCAACTTCAGTTGTAAAGGGTCTTTGGCCTCTGGTGTGGTTTTGATGAGAGCTCAGAGGAAAATGTAATAATGTTGTCAGATTTTTTGCATCAGTGGACAGATGAGTTAAAATCTGCAAAAGAACTGGAGTACAAGCCATATGGACCTAAAAAGCAGACTTTTCCAGATGGTGAAAATTCATGTACGTTGCAGGACTCTACCCAGATCTGTAATTCAACAGACTGTAAAAGGTCCAGGCTGCACTTCACTGCACAGAGGTAACAAATGAACCAAATGAATCAGTCCACAGAACATGTGCTTCACCTGCTTTCTGTAGCCAGAAAATTCATGATCCTTACTCTCAGAAACAGCATAAATGCATTTGCACCGTTCCTCTAAACAGGCAAGACAATTAAAGCACAGTGAGAACACAAAGTTCAATCTCATCTTCTGCCAGACATTAAGTATGATTCCTCCGTTGTTGAATCTCAAACTCCCAAGGCTGGTAAAGGATCCCTGCAAATACTTTTCAAAAATACTTAACTTAGCATGTCCTTATTTTCTGAGACTGTAAATAAAGTGTTAAGTAAACTGAGGAAGTCTCTACACCATCCTGAGTACAGCATTGCATTAGCTCTCAACTTCTGAAGATAGTCTGCAGTTTATTAGCATAAAATACTGCCCAAAATGTTGCATGAAATTAAAAGCGACACAGAAATGCAAAGCAAACTATGAAGAGGAACAGGAACAAGATTCTTCAGGGGAGAAACAGCAGATGATGTAGAATACATATTGTTATTAAAATGGCAAAATATTTAGTCTCATTTTGCAGATAAGCTTCAAGTGTTATTGCTCCCTTCCAAGCTGCTCAAATGAACAGTGCTGCTGTCAGCTTGTATAACAGGAAAATTACGTATGTTCTGACTGGCAATCCAGAAAGCTCGTGCACTTGAGGCCTGATGATTGAGAGGTAATATGGTAAATTTAAAGGATAAGTGTGCTTTGTGCATCAAGTACATTTTTCTCAAAGCTGTTCTATTAGTAATATTGGGAAATGCTCAAGTACCTTCACCGGTGAAATACTCACAGTAGCAGTTAGCTCTAAAAACATTTATGTGCTGCTGAAAGCAGAATTGGAGAAAAATAAGACTTCCATCAAGCCAGGCAGTTGTTTCAACTATGAAAATGTATACTTGATGAATTAGCTTGCCTGCAATTTAAAGGCTTATAGTGAAGTACCCAATGCCAGTGCTTTCTAAAGCTTTTTAAAGCTAATTGAGTATCCTTCACAAGGATGCACACTCCATTCTCTTTTTCAGCAGAAGATTTCTATTGAGTTTACATGTATAATACAGAAAATGCTTGAAACAAACCGAAGCATGATACATGTGACCACTCAAAACTCTGACTTCAGCCTTTGGCATAAGCTTCCTAAAAAGATGGCTGCCAGCGTAAACACACACCTGAGTAACAACTGTCACCAATACATTAAAGGAATTAAAAAAAAAACCCAGTGGATTATCAGAATACCTTTTTAATCTTATAATTGTTTATGTGTTATTTCTTTAAAAGTGTTGTATGGAAAATGTTGTGTGCCCTACACCTCTATCCTCCATTAGGACCTGTTTAAACATGGAAATTAATTTTGTCATCTTGTTCCTTTCCAGCACTTTCTAAAATTCAAACATAATTGACTTGACAGCCTGAATGTTGCCATCGAGCTCGTCAATTCCTGATGACCTGAACTGATCTTTTACCTGGCTTGACTGCTTTCATTACAGCCCGTGATGACTTCAGCACTGCCTCATAGATAGCCCTCTGGTCAGGAGTGAACTTTCCACTTGCTGGGAAGGTGCAGGTGATGTCAGAACCGTAGCAGTAATACTCTCCTCCCATATCGAACAGGCTAAAAAGGAAACAGAGGTGGAAGGAATGAAAATCTAATTCCAAAGAAACAGTAGAACAGAAGAGGTTTCTCTTGCTCTGCCCTTGAAAGTCATCTGCACTTTGGTAGTTGGCCATACAATCACCACTTGAAGTAAAATGAGACAACAGTCCCTTGGAATCTTCTAGCAGAAAGCTGTCTGCATTACATATGGCTTAAACGGACCCTCTCAGGGCTGTGCTGGTCCTAGATGGAAACATGGAGAGAATGCAAGAAGGAAGAGAAAAAGTACACGAGGAATCCAATTCAAGCTCTTCAGTTCCAGTTTCTAGTATCTCTTCTCAGAAGAAAAAAACTTGTCCTTTTTTCCTCTCCTGAGAGATGCTAGCACCACATAAAGGGTCTAACCTCAAAACTTAACAGAGAAATCATACAAAAGGCCATAATTTAATTAACTAAATGTCAAAACACATCTGATGGTTTAAATAAAACATCCCCAATGAAGGTTGACTGCTGCTGCTCACAATATAAACGTTCCTTTAAGACAAACTTGCCTAACAGGGATTAAAGAAACAAAGATTATGGGAAGATCTAACCAGAAAAGAACATTTAGTAGCGTTTTCTGCATCAGAGGTAGAAGAAAAAAAATACATGAACTGCTTTCTTTTATGGGGACAGAAAACCTGGTTTACCCCCTGAGAAGCGTATTTATTCTCTACATGAATCAATGATTCACTACTGATTTCTCAGCTGCCAGAATTCAATCTACAATAGCAGCAAGTGAGTCTCTACATCCATGTGAGAACCAGGTTAGACATTTGCAATACTATGCTTCTTGAGCCTACCTGATAGGGCACTGCACTGGTTTCATCAGGCTCAAAAATCAGCAAATAACCAAACCACCATTTGGACCAAACAGTACTTGAGCAAATAACTCCTCTAGTTACATATATTGAATACAAGAAGGCACATTTTACATCTAAAACTTTGGTCTTGACACACAGTATTTGTGTGACCTTCTGATTTCTTAAGTAATGTATCAGAGTTGAAATCTGTTAATTTAAATCTTATTCCAACCACCTTGAACAACTGTATGAGACTCTCATCATAATAAATATAATTTTTGTGCACTGTGTCTGAAAAGTGTGGAGTTTTCTTCTTTTTGCTTCTGCTGCCCAGCAGGGTCAGTCAGACAACACAAGCAGAAGGGAGGATGCTCCACTGGGGCACCCTCTCTGCCATCCAGTCCTAATTACAGCAGTAATTAGCAAAACTGCCCAGCATAGCTCTGTCTCCAGCCAGCACACATGAGTAGGTAAAGATACGCATAAGCTACCACAAAAAGTGCTACAGCACTTTCTTTAAAGAAATGTTAAAATCCATCCTAAAATCTCCTCTGTGAACAGATCTTTGCACTGAGTGCAAGTCGTGCTGAAGGCATTTCCAGTCTCCCCAAATTGGGCAAGGCTCACCTGCAGCGAGACTTGCAGGACCGGAACTGCAGGATCAAACCTCATGTTTTACAGATGCAGAACTGCACAAGGCTTAAAGTTACAGGAGCAAACTTGAGGAGAATGCTACAGAGAGAACGGTAATGTTATATATGTACACACAGAGCTAATACAAACACTATATACATTTACTTAGATACGAAATAAAGTACGTTAAAACCTAAAGTTGCTAATTGAAAAAAACATGCACAACAGACAGCAAATATCAGACCCACAGGGCAAAACCCCCATGATTTAACACCAACAAAGCAACTAAACCAGCCTAGCCAAACCTCAAAATCAGGAACACCATTAACACTGCCTAATTTTGATTTTATGGTTAGACTTGCTTCTAAAATTAACTGATGATAAGCACAGAAAACGTAAGGATACAGAAAGCTAGTTGCAGCAAGTAAGAATCATGTAAGAAGCTGCTACGTCCTCTAACGTGCCAACAAGATACACACTTCAGATTAGTTATGTGTCTTCCAACCTATCCCAGACTGAACCCTTTCAAAACCACAAATCGGGTTTCATGGTCCTTTGTGGGATTTGTAGCAATTCTGTGGCCTAACTCTGTTGAATTTACAAGTATAAGTGTACATTCAGCACAGTGACAGTAAAGCTGTGACCAACACCTTCCGAACTCCCTGTCTGTCTACTGGAAGTTGCTACGCCTTCTATATTTTACCTGGAGAATAGTTATTATGAACCTACCACAGGCAAAGTTTTAGCTATGTCTTTAACCTTAAAGTTATCAGCATTTTTTCCAACCCATTCATCACTCCGTGGTTGTTAAATAGTTGTTTGAGTTACTGGAGCAGTGAGTAATGGAAAAAAAATATCACTAAGCTGACAGTACACCAAAACAATGCTCACAAGCTAAGAAGCACCATTTGTTCAGGTTTCTTGGCTTCCAGACAAGAGGAGACATGAGGGAAGATGATCTTTCAGATTCCACCTCCAAGCAACACCACACCATCCAGCCTACATGCTTCAATGAAAAAGCATCCAAAACAAACTGTACATTTGGGAGATATTTTGGCTCTTACTGGGAATTCTCTTTCATTTAACTTCAGTTGGGAACATATCCATTAGTTAAAATGTTGCTCAAGACATGGAAATAGCCCAAATATTGTAGTTATCCTGAGGAAATAATGGGAGCCTGAGAAGATTCCAGTTTTGTATCTTTGTTTGCCAGGCAAAATAAGCGGTGAAGCACATTTAAGTCCAATAAAATGCATGTGAGCTACTATCTTCTCCTGTCAACCAACTGGAAAAAGTTTCTAAAAGCAGGTTCCTTAAATCCAGGTTCCTTAGATAAAACACATGTATTTTACCCTGAAATTAGATGGCAACTGTGAGTATGCAGCTAGGAAAAGAGATATTGTTAACGCATTTTGGTATGTCCTCAATTGCATATATAAAATTACCTGCCTGGTAACGCAGTTTTACAAGGGTCATGTACAGAAACAACTACTTAATATTATTTGAACTGTTATCAAATGCAGCAGCAATCTAAACAAATCAAATGCACAAGTGAAAATAGGCCTTGTAGGCATCTAGATCTATGGCTTACCTTTTAAGAACTGTTTAATCTAGAGTAATATGCAGTAATATAGCAAAGTATCTCCTAACTCTATTTATTTATCTAAAAAGGTGCTACATGTCTAACAGACTGTATATGTTGCCTATTGCAAAACTTAATTGTGAATTTAGTTTTCCATTGAATGAAGAAAAATTTCATTCCAGAACAACCCTTTCC